TTTTTCGTCTTTTTGAGACAGGGTCTCCCTGTAGTCCCAGCTGTCCTGGAATCACTAATGTAGACCAGGCTGGCCTTGAACTCGCAGAGATCCACCTGCCTCTGCCTCCTGTGCTGGGATTAAAGGAGTGCGCCACCACACCTGGCATATTTCTTAAATATTCTAATGATGCTATGATTTAGGACTGAACTAATTCTATGAAAGTTCCTATTTGGATCTATATGGTATGAACTAATGTGGTAACCCAGGGCAAGCCATTTAAACAACTTCTATATTAATGTCAATAGGCCCAGCTGGAAATGATGGGCTTTACCATACAGAGTGTGAAACTCCAGGAGTTGAAGAGGCACTCATGTGGCACAAAGCACATGTTCAAGATTAGTTGCATAACTATTTTTCTCATTTTCAGTCTACTGACCGTTTCCTTAACCCATTCCCAACCAATATGCTGCTGCCAACTAAATCTGAATGTGAGTTTCATTTAGCATGCAAACCTTAACAATCAGGCCTCTCAGCCTGTTCCTCTAATAGTGGCTTTTATTTTTATTTATCTCAGAAATTTTGCAATGAATGTATTTTGCTTGCCACTATCCACATTACTTCAAACCCCAACAATCTTATTCCTTGAAACTTACAGCTCCCCTGAATCCACTGCCATGGCCAAATGGAGGGAAAGATATGATCAGTAACATTTTGTTACCACCTGTACTCAACAACTCCAAGCCAAGATGAGACATAACTAAAAATATTCTGTTCCAGGAAAAACAAGCTATTTGTTGGACAAAGATGGTCTTAAGATACAGCAAAATAAAGATTTATTTTGGAGATAACCAGCATCAACATACCCTATCAAGCTGGGTGAGAAAGATCACAATCTCAGGTGCCATTGTGTTATACTAGGATTTATGGGGTACCAGATATGTGCTTGGTGCATTGGCATCCACAAGTCTCTGCTTTCCTTTTTGCTTGACTTCTTATCTACCTTTACTATGCTGAGAAGGGTGATACTGAAGTAATGAGGAGAGTTGGGAAGGAAAAAACTTTCAGGGGTGGAAAATTTGACCTTAGACTTAAAACCCTTCTCATCTTGGGGAGCACAACCCATTCTAATAAAATGTAAAGCTGCAGAAATGGAAAGTGTTCATAAAAAGATGTTAGGTCCATGGGCCAAATGAAGTTAGAGTTTCAGGAAGCTACTTTTTATAGACAATTTAGGGCCAATACTGTGGTGTTCCTTGAAGTTTGAGGAAGTTTCCTTAGGAAGTCATAATGAATGAAAGTAGGCTTATCTTATGAAGTAAGACGTGAGATCAACTGGGGACTTTGAATGAACAGATATTTTTCCAAAGCCAACTATGATTTACAGCAGTTCAGGTCCAATTTATAGTCATATTAAACCAAAGAAACCGAGAATACACAGAAGGTAGAGTAAAATACTTCCCAAGGGAAAAAAGTGGTCACCTTTGAAAGATAAGTAACTTGTGATGAAAAATCAATTATTATTATTATTATTATTATTACTACTACTATTTTTTGAGACAGGGTTCCACTATGTATCCCTGGCAGGTGGTGTAAACCAGGCTGGTCACAAACTCAGAGATCCAACTGCCTCTGCCTCCTGAGTAGTGGGATTAAAGGCATATACTACCATGCCTGGTAAGAAGTAGGTATTCTTAGCAACTCCATGCAGGCCACGATGGGAAAAGAGCAGAAGAGTGCAACTCAGTTAAAAAGGGGAGGCAGGAAAATTGCTTAGCAATTAGAACTTGCCAAGTTCACGATCAATTTCAGACATAGTAAGAAGGAGAAGCATGTACTGTTATCAGAGAAAGGTAGGTATTGTGCTGAGTGACGCTGACCTCAGTGTGTAGTGCAGAAAGGAACAAAGAAAAAACCTGATTGACCTGGGAGTGGAGAAGCTCTCTGAAGAATCATGAAGCCAGGGAACCACAGAGATGGAAAAAGTCCTTCAGAGGCACATTTGGAGGAGGAAGGACAAATAAATTAAATGTCATTGATGTACATATCTCTGAACACCTGCCATAACAGAACATCATTCAAGGTCTTGGGAATAAGACAGTAAGAGCCAATATAAAAACAAGTATTTAGGAAGAAGAAAGACCCAGGTCTGAGGTTCTTAAATGTGACAGGGCTGGATTTCAGCAGTGATCAGCACTACCAGAGAAGAATAAGAACAAACATGCCAACAAAAGCAGGGAGTGGAGGGAAAGCCTTAGGGTTAGGGTTAGGCACAAGACTGGGATTTTGTAATGTGAACTCAAAGAAGATAAAGAGCTGAAAGTTGAGATGGTTTAGTGGGTAAAGGTGCTTGGTGCACAAGTTTGGTAACCTGAGTTCAAACCCTGGAATCACCTTTAGGTGGAAAGAGAACTGAACTGACTTCACAAGGTTGTCCTCTGACCTCCAGATGGGTACTGTGGCACATGCCTGTCACTGTCTCTGTCTCTCTCTCTCTTTCTCTCTCTCTCTCTCTCTCTCACACACACACGCACACACACACACACACACACACACACACACACACACAAATTTTAAAAGAAAGGAAAAACCTGTGATGGTTAATATTGCCAACAGGATCTAGAATCACCCAAGAATCAAACCTTTGGACGTGCTGTGGGGGTTATCTTGATTAGGTCATTTGAGGTGGGAAGACACTGTAGGTGGCGTCATTCCCTAGGCTAGGATCCTGGATTGAATAGAAAGGAGAAAGTGAGCTGAGCACCAGCATCCATCTCTCTCTGCTTTCTGACTGCAGATGCATCCATTTCTCTCTGCTTCTTGATTGCAGATGCAATGTGACCAGCTGCTTTAAGTTCCTGCTACTGTGCCTTCCCCACCGTGATGGACCATAACCTCCAACTATGACCCAAAATAAACACTTTCTCTCTGAAGTTCCTTTTGTAAGCCACAGAAAAGTAACTAACACAGAGCACAAAGCACTTCATGGAAAAGGAACATGAAAACAAAACCAAGGAAGGTAAAAAGCAAGGTTTTTTTTGTTTGTTTTTTTTTTATAGCAGACCTAATAACAAGGGAAATCTATGATAACAAGTACTTGAAAATGCTGAGACTGAAGGTTTAAGAAGAAGAAGGAACCAGCTTTTGATTCTGGGTAGTGATGACCAGGGCAAATCTATAATCATATAGCTTTCATAGGGAAGGAAGAAGAATTTAGCAGTGACGAACCACCTTCAGTCACTTTCAAAGGCCTGGGATGATCAGAAAGTTCCTGGGAGAAACAGTCCCCAGTTACCATCTCCTCTCTGCCTCTACTAACACACCTGGATAGCTCTGAGGTGGGACTGCGCCTTCAACTATCCATGGCTCTTCTCCTTGCTCCAACTTGATGATAATATCCGGTTTGATAATATGATACCCTGTTAATGAGAAATGAAAAAAAACTTGAGCCTGGATGTGTGGCTTCAGGGTCTCTGTCATTCCGGACAAGTGCTACTGTACCAGCTGCATAACACAAGTGCCCTCATGCTTTATTAAAATCAGAAACCTTTCATGGGGAAGTGAAGACCAAATGCCCTACCTGGCAACCAGAACATTCAATTCCTATAGAATTAAAAGTTAGGAGTCATCAACACTGATAGAAATCCCCTGTACCTCAGCAGCTCAGAAAGCAAAACTATCCTCACCCACAGAGATGAGGTTGTTGTAATTCTCCAGCATCACATCCCTATATGTCATCTTCCCATCAGAGTCCAGCTGTTGCCACTCCTCCTGGGTGAAGGCCACAGCCACATCCTTGAATGACACTGGCCCCTGCAATGTCACGGTGATCAGAATTAGATGACGTGGAAAGGGTAAGTGAAGAAAAGATCATCCCAAGCTTGTTGGCACAGTTAACCATGAACATTGCATACTTCATTTCATATTACAGACTATGGAAGGAAAATATACCTATCAAAAATACACTGCTGTGGGGCTGGAGAGATGGTTCAGTGGTTAAGAACATTGGCTGCTCTTGTAGGGAACCTGGGTTCAGTTCTCAGCTCCCACATAGTGACTAACAACTATCTGTAATTCCAGTTCCAGGGGCTCTGATGCCCTCTTCTAACCTCTATGGGCACTGCACAACATGGGTACACCTATATATGCAAGAAAAACATTCATACACATAAACTAAAACAAAAGAACCCCCCCCCCACTACCTTGGAGATGAAAAGATGGCTCAGTGGTTAAAGAACTGGCCACATAAGCACGAGGACTAGAGTTCATAGAGTTCCCCAGAGACCCACATAAAGCCACGTGGGCCTGGCAGCCTGCAATTATAGCCTCAGAAAGCAGGGATAGGAGATCTTCAGGGCAAGCTGTCTAGCAGGGCTAGCCTTGTCAGTGAGCTCAGGGTTTAACTGAGAGACCCCACCTCCATGAATATGGTAGAAGGGTAATCAATTATTTGTTATTCACTTCCAACTTCCACATGCATGTACACACACACACACACACACACACACACACACACACACACGCACACACGAGAAATGGGGAAAAAAATAAAAACCAAACCAAAAAACCCACTGATCTTACACTGCAAGTCAGGAACAACTATGGTTGTTGGGAACACAAAAACCATCAGGTACAGCTCCCACCCGAGGACACCCATGCAATCGCAGTATGCACTCTGTTCTTTGGAATTCTATTTAAAACTTTTTTAAAAAATTTAAATCACATACATGTATGCGGGTATGTGCTCATGAGTGTAGGTGTCCACAAAGGCTAGAAGAGGGTGTCAGATGCCCTACAGCTGGTGTACAGGTGGTTATAAGCTACCTGGTATGGGTGCTTGGAGAACTCTGCTCTTCTGCAAAAGCAATATTTGTTCCCCTCTGCTGAGCCATCTCTCCAGGCCAACGCTCTTCATCTTGCCTCTATTATTTAAGCATTGTTGATTTACCCCTACCTCTCTGGCTCCTCCTCAGCATCCTCTACTAGCTCTTTTCTCCCCCAGATTTCCCCAGAGCACTTGCTACTTTGATGGCAAGACTGCCTGACTTCCTGACCAGTTTAACTGCCCTCTGTTTATCAACACTTCCCAAATCTTATTATCATCAATTCAAGTCTCTCTCCTACACTCCAGATACACAAGCCCCTGATTTTACAAATCACATGCCCCAAATGCAGTTCCTATTTCTATCCAAGCCTGTTCATTCAACAGCCAATATTTGCCTCAATCACTGGAGCAACAAACAAGCCAGGCAACATACGTTATAATTTTATGCTTTATAGAAGGGTAAACTCACAGCTGAGCACATAACATATCTGTGACCAGCTGGCTTGGTTAACCACAATTCCTAGTTGAGAACCTTGAAAAGCAGAGGGAGAACAAATGGCTAACCTGGAAACTCTTTTTTTTTCTGTTCCTTTTTTCCATTTTCATGTGTGTGGGTGGATGTAAATGTGTGGAAGTCAGCATACATACATGTGTGAGTGAATCTGGAGGCTCAAAGTTATGTCAGGAATCATCTACCCAATTTATTGAGACAGGGTCTCTCATCACACCCAGAACTCACTGATATGGTTTGCCTCACCAGCCAGCTTGCTCTAGGGATTCCACCCTGTGCCTTCTGTGGTGGGAATTACAGAAGGCCCTTTATGCCTACCTGGCATTTGCATGGGATTCTGGGGATCTGAACTCTGGTTCTCATGCTTGCAGGGGAAGTGCTTGAACCACTGAACCATTTCCCCAGTCCCCCAGTCTTTAATTTGAATAACAGTTCCATTCAGAAACATATCAGCACTACAAATGCTTCTGTGAATATCACCAACCTCCACCTGGTAATACCAGTGGGCATCAGGGACTCTATGGAAAGCATTCAGCACAACTAAGTAGATACCACTGGTATCTTAAATTATTGTTGGTAATTATTGTGAGTATAGATTAACCATATAAGAAAGCAAGTTGAACAACTGAAGGCTACATGATTGTGTTGTTTCATGGACTTGCCAAGAATTATGAAATAAGGAAAAAAAAAGTTTCAGGTTCCTTTTAGCTCGACAGGCATGACTAGAGTGGGAGGCAAGGAAGGGAAGGTCCTGCTTTGCTCAGGGACCACGTGGGACAGCCCTGAGCTCCTGACAGTTCAGAATGCTGTGGTGTCTATATGTGGAACCATCTATGAGTACAGGAAGGGTCCTTCTGGCACGTCTCCTGAGATGCCATGCTGTCCCTTGGCTCCAGGATGGATGGGATGCACAGTGGTGGGAAAAGAGGTCCTTCTGTAGCCAAACTCATCTATGATATGACTGCTGCCCAGCAGGTGACGAGGCTGTCTCAGAGAGCAATAGTATGGCTTTCAAGTTCCACCCATACTTCATTCGTGTACCACCAGCCTTGACTGGCTGTCCTGGTGAGGATGAAGAGGCTCAGAAGTTCCTCCATCTTGCTGTTCTGCCTGGGTGGGTAACAGCTTGCTTACTTGTTTTTAAAGAAAAGGTTGTTTCTTATTTACTCCAGTGTTGTATCCCTGTTTGATCTGTCTACTAGATATTTGTCAACGTGATCATGTGCTTGTGTCAACAAGCATGTGATCTTCAAGCCACTCTTCAGGAGAGGGAAGATGGAAAATCATCGCTTTGGGAAAGAAATGACAAAGCAAATGACAGAGCATCTTATAAAGAAAAACACAAGGACCAGCAAGATGACTCAGGGGGTAAAGGTACTTGCTGTCAAGCTTGATGACTTGAATTTGATCCCCTGGACTCACACTGTAGTGAAGGTGAATGGAATAGTTTTGAATACACTCCTGTAGTCCCAGCACTTGGGAGGCAGAGGGGGGCAGATCTCTGTGAGTTCAAGGCCAGCCTGGTCTACATAGTGAGTTCCAGGACAGCTGGGGCTACAGGGAGACCTTGTCTCAAAAAGACCAAAAAAATAAAAAGGACTAGTTTTGAATACTCTTTCTAGACAGGCTGGGAAGTGGAACACTGAACTGAAAAGGAACAGGAGAAGGCACAGGTGCGGAGATGGAGCTGCTAGTCAGAAGCAGGGAGGATAAGGTCAGGGAAGGGTCAGAGGGGTCATATGAAGACATCATCAAATCCAGGAAGAGGGCATCAAGAGTGATACTTCAGAAATGGACAGAGGAGACTATAGAAAGAACTAAACACAGGACAGAGAATTGGTCATTGGGCATGTATGAGAATAGGTATTGGGGAGCTGGCAAAGATAGCTTAGTGGGAAAACATTTGCCCAGCATGTGTGAGGCCCCAGGTTTGATCCCCACCCATGTCAAATAAATAAAATTAGGGGCTAGAGAGATGGCTCAGTGGCTAAGAGCACTTGCTGCTCTTGTAAATCTGAGTTCAGTTTCTGCATCCATATGGTAGCTAACAAGCATCCTTAACTCCAGTTCCAGAGGATCAGATGCCCTCTTCTGGCCTCCATGGGCACTGCAAGCACATGGCACACATATATATGCAGGTAAAACATTCATCCATATAAAACAAAAATAAATTAAAAAAATATAATCTAAATAAAATAAAAACCACTGGAAGCACTCATTAAATGGGGCTGGAAAGATGACTCAGAGGCTAAGAGCCACATATTGCTCTTGCAGAAGAATGGAGTTCGTTCCTAGCACCCATGTTAGGCAGCTCACAACCAGCTATCACTCTAGATTCAGGGGATCCAATGTCCTCTTCTGGCCTCTGAGAGTATCCCCCCATGCACCCCACTCCCCAACAACTAAAAATAAATCTTAAGAAAAAGTTACTGCCAACACATGAGAATCAAGATTGTGGGGTATGTGGGTACAGTGGGTATGAGAACTACAGACATCTCTGCCAATGATAATTCATCACTCTGTTATATGTCCTGCAACCAAGACTGACCACCAGATATAAACATTTTGGGAACTCATTTAAAAGTGAGAAAGCCAGTCCTTCAGATACCTCATTTCCTCCCTGGTTTAGGTAGTGAGGACAATACATCCATGTGGTAGCAGTTTCAGATGCCAGGAATACTGTATTTAGGAGTCCTTCCTGGGCATGCATTCATTGCTTAGAAGAACTAGGAAGTGGCTGGAGAGACACCTTGGCCAGTGAAGTGCTTGTTGTGTATGCATGAGGAACTGAGTTTGATCCCTAGAGCCCAGGTAAAAATGCTGGGAATAGTGGCTCACATTTGTAACCCAAGTAGAGGAGAAGCAGATCCCCAGGGCTGGCCAATTACCCTAGCTACTTTGTGAGCGCCAGGCCAGTGAATGACCCAGTCTCAAAAAACAAGGTGGAAAGCACCTGAGGAACAACACCCAAGATTGACCTCTGACCTATACAAACGTGTACACACACACACACACACACACACACAGAGGAAACATTGGTGTCCTCACTCAGGAAGCTTATTCACAACTGTATCAAAAAAATTTTTAAAAATCCACAAGAAAACACGTTTCCACTCAGGGTTGATAGAAGTAAAGAAATGGATGAAATTTATCATTTTTTGCTAAAATACAAAAAATACACGGGCCAGAGAGATGGCTCAGTGGTTAAGAGCTTGTGGTGTTCTTGCAGAGAACTTGAGTTCTGTTCTAGCACCCATGTCCAGCAGCTCACAACTACCTGTAACTCCAGCTTCAGGGGTATCCAGTGCCTCTGGCCTCCTCTGGTACCTGTACTCACCTGCACATACCCTCACACACAAACACATAAGCATACATAGTTAAAAATAATTTTTAAAAATGCTGCCTACAGTTATGAACACAACAGAAACACCTGCTGTTGCTCACTACTGTTTTGTCTAATCATAACTTTCTTTTTTTAACCTTTCCATTTTAAAGTTGAAATGCTTTGTTCCAGTTACCATAAACCAAAAGAGAATTAAAAAAAAAAAATGGGAAAAGAAAAAAAATCCCCAAAGCTCACCAGAGATGTATTCATTTCCTGCTGTTCTTGGAAATACACAAAGGAGTGAAACAGAGGCACGTCTGCAGAAGGAAAACAAAAGTCATCACCAAAGATCTGGCCACAGGAGTTGTAAAAACCTACCAGAACATTCCAAGAAGGAAAGATTATGGGTGCTTGTCTCGCTGGCTCTCAGAAAGAACTGGAGAATAATCAGAAGTCACCTAGACCTCTGTCATCCACACATAGATTGCATCAGAATTGAATGCATGCACCTGTCTAGAGCTCAACTAACATGAGATGCTACCAAATTAATTCAGTTAAATAAAAAATTTAAAAATTCTATTATATAGTACTCATTTCTCTTTTAACCTGGAATAACTGAAGATCAGAAAACTCACAGGTTGCTCTGAAGGAATGCAGTAAGCATGGTGGGAACTGTATTTGTATAGAATAAAGGGACGTTATGCCTGGGACTTCAACACTGCAGAAAAAACACGGGCGGGGGACTTGAGTCTCAGCACTCCAACGAACCAACCCATGTGTGACCTGGTTAAGTCACCCACCATCCCAGGACCAAAGTCTTCCTCCATCAATGAGACATTAACACGTTCTGCACTGCACCGTAAGCCTACCGGGCAGCGACGGGGAACCGGCAGAAAGCACGGGTGGTGATGGACGCTTAGGGACACCCCGGGAATCTGGAGCGATGAGGGGTGTGCCATGGAGGAGGGGGAGTGTGGACGGCCTCTCGGCTGTTGGCCCCCATGCCCACACACCTAGTCCTCACAGCCCATCCATGCAGCCCAAGGCTGTGCGGCTGTCCTGCGTCGGCCCAACAGTCGCCAACCTCCCTGGCCCGGCAGGCTGGGGACTGCGGTGAGCTGTGGTTTCGCGCAGGCGCAGATCGCTCGGGGCCCCGAGAGCGACCAGACAGGCCCCAGCATCCCTCCCGGGCTGGGATCTGCGCCCTCGGGCCTCACCGTCCCCTGGGCCAGCAGAGCCGCTGAGGAGGCCGCGCCGGTCCGGTCTCGCCGTCCCTATCGGTCCGCACCGCCCGAGCGTCCCCGGACCGCACACCCGCGCCCGCCCACTGCGGACCCTGACGCTCCGGCCTCGCCCTCGCACTCTCTGCGACTCCGCTCAACGTAAGGCTTACGCTGGGTAGCGAGGGCGGCGGCGACCCAGGACCCGCAGGAAGCCAAGGCGGTGCTGCAAGCGTGCGCATGTGCAAAGCTAGTCTAGCATGCGCAGAAGCGCACAGGAAGTCCCAAGGCGGGTCTCTCGCTGTAGGAGCACTAGGGACTGTCAAACAAGTCTCTACCTCGTCTCGGGAGCTCGGAGGCACTGTGATGTGTACCAGAGAGCTCCCACGCTCAGCTTCGCGTCTGTCCTCAGTCCCTTTGAACCTGGAGAAACGGCTTGCCGGGGGATTAAGTGCAAGTCCAAGTCTTCTACAGGCTGAAGACTCCAGGATAGGACGATTCTGACGGACAGAAAAAAAAAAAAAAAAAAAAAAACCACAAAAACAAGCAAACAAACAAAAAACCCCAAACTGTGTGTCGTGCTCATTTAACCAAATTGCTGGAAATTTCCCTCAAATACGAGGGAAACAAAAGTGGTAGCTTTTCTAGATCGCACAACTAATGCATACAAACGCTAAAATCAATCAGAAAATAGAAAGAAGAAAACGGATACCTGTAACGTGAACTCTCAAAAGTGATGTTTTGGGTCAAATGACAGTGCCAGTTTTCAAAAATGGTACCATTTGGGCAATGATTGTTTGTTTTCTGAACTGATGCAACAATGTTCTAGCCATATTGGTTCTTAAAAGCTGGTGGGGGGAAAAAAAGCTGATGGAGCCAAAAACAGAATCTGCCAATGTAAAAATGCTATCTCCACAAATGCAGAAAAGTTTCATCATGGACAATCACCCTGTCACTCTGTGGTGTCCATCATAGGCGAACCACTGTACCACTAAGCAGTGGGCAGTAGAATACTCTTTGCTAATAGCTGGACGGATGCTGCCTGGTGCTCCTGACCTCAAGATTTAAAGGGCGACTCCTCCCCGGTGTAAGGGCTGCACTGCAAGACTGGCTGCGTCTCCTCACAGTCTCATCCTGAATTCACCTGGTAATGGAGGTGGTGGTCTGAAATGGTTCATTATCTGATAAAGCAAAAGTTCCCACATCTCTGTGACAAGTATGTAGCTACATCTCAGAGTGAGATACCTGGATTAGAGTCTCCAGGTGACAGGGAGACTTGAGGTATACATTGCCCAGAAAGAACTCTTGGACCCTTCATAAAAGGAATTCCTTGCTTGAAGGCAGGAAGTTCATATAATTATTTTTATAAAAAAGGATTTAGCACTTGGGAGGCAGAGGCAGGCAGATCTCTGTAAGTTCAAGGCTGGCCTGGTCTACATAGTGAGTTCCAGGACAGCTGGGGCTACAGGGAAGACCCTGCTTCAAAAAGACAAAAAAAAAAAAAAAAAAAAAAAAAAAAAAGAAAGAAAGAAGGATTTAGAGTTTAGAGGGATTGGATTTAGAAGGACTGGATTTAGAGGAACTGGAGAGATAGCTCTGGTTAAGTGCACATTTACTCTTGTCAAAGACCCTAGGTCAGTTCCCAGCACCATATCAGGCAGCTCACAACCACCTGTAACTCCAAGGGATTCCACACCTTCTTCTGTACTTCTTGGGTCTTGCACTCACATGTATACACACACACACACACACACACACACACACAATCTTAAAAAATTTTAAAAATATTTTATTATTATTTTTTAATTTTATGTGTACAAGTGTATTGCCTGCATGTATCCGTGTTGTGCAATGCTCTGGAGGTCAGAAGAGGGCTTCGGAGCCCCCTGGAACTGGAGTTAAGGACAGTTCGTAGCCGCCATGTGGGTGCTGGGAATCAAACCTGGGTCCTCTACAAGAGCAGTCAGTGCTCTTAACCACTGAGCTATCTCTCCAGCCCCAAAATCTTAAAAAAATTTTTTTTTAAATAGGGTCTCCCTGTTACCCTAGCTGGCCCGGAACTTGCTGTGTAAATCAGGCTGGCCTTGAAGTCACAGAGATCCTCCTGCCTGTGCCTCCCAAGTGCTGGGATTAAAGGCATGCACCATCATACCCAGCTTAAATAATTCTTTAAAAATATTTTTTATAATAGGATTTAGATATCTTTCAAAGAGACAGAGCAAGGGTTACTCAGTGGTTTGGAGTAGACAACGAGCGGCTTAACCAGAGCCGGCAGTCCCAGGCCCTGTGTGCCCAAGGCCTGTTGGCTGAGCTGGAAGACCTGGAGGCATAGAGCTTCAAGTCATGAGTTTAGAAACCAGAGGCTCATTGCGTAGGCACTTAAGCCTGAAGTTTATTGCTCTAGGCTTTAACCAGTAGTGGCCCTGGGTTTTGGCAGCTGTTGTAATACTTGGCTACCAGCAGTACCAATGGGTAGCAGCAGGCAGGACCTGCTAGCGTTTCCACTCCTGAATGGAACTCAGATATTGGGATGCTCAGCTACTCTAGCCATTAGAGTTGCAGCTCTTGAATATGAGGTATCTGAGACTCTTGGCTCTTAAAGCTTGGCAGCCCCTAAACTCTTCCAACAACTGGAACGCCTCAGTTTCTTGTCTGTGGCTTTTCCTAGCCTTGTATCTTTCTTCAGCCTCTGCTCCCCACTGTCACTTCCTGTCTACTCCTGTCGTCCCTTGTAGTCAATGCCTGTCCTTCACTACACTGCCATTTCTGCTGTCTTAACGTTGTGTCACCAGCTCAGCCTCTATACTAATAAATGATAAAGGTCAACAGTAGGCAAGGAAAAAATAAGGCTTTTATGGGCCTTATGTTGCAATACCAGGGGACAGCACAGAAGGGTGTTTTCTAGCTGCCTTGAAAACTGCGAGGGGGCCAGAGAGATGGGTCAGTGGGTAAAGGCGCTTGCTGACAAGCCTGACCACTTGAGTTTGATCCCTAGAACCCATGTGGTGGAAGGAAAGAACTGGCTCTACAAAGTTTTCCTGACTCCCACACTTGCATCATGGCATATGTACACACACACACACACACACACACACACACACACACACACACGTACACATGTACACATACACTAAATTAATTAAATGTAAAATAAAAGTGTGAGGGGAATAGTCTGTACTTTTTCATTCAACTGAAGGAATGTGTTTGCACCAACCCCAGTGACAAATGGATGATCCAGTTCGTTGAGGCTTGTGATTGCCAAAATATCCTGCAGAAAGCTGGGTGTGGTGGCATATTGAGGGGATGAGGCAGGAGGATTGTGAGTTTGAGGACAGCCTGGGCTACATAGTGAGACTTTGTTAAAGAGAAAAAAAGAGACAGAACAAAAGTTAAGCTGTTTGAAACAGTGGTGGCCAGATAGTAGGTTTTGGAAATGGAAATGCATTTCAGCAACAAGCAACAGTGGTTGCTATGCAGTTTCCCCAGGGGTCCTTGGAGTGTTCAGAGTAGCTGAGCTTCCATGAAGGCATCCTGGCTGCCGGGAGGGCAGTATGACCAATTGCCTGACTAACAGTCCTCTGCTTAGTGCATGGGGAAAAGTCTAACAGCCATCAATTGGGGAATCAAATATTTAGTTTATTTAAGAAAAAACCAAACACCAAAATGGGTGCTTATAATAAAGGTTTATTATTAACATTAATAGTGATCCAGTAGTATTTAACAATGCTTTCTACTCCTAGGCAAATAGGCATGGGAAGAGTTGGGTCATTTAATCTCTTTCAAAAGTCTTTTTGAGACAAGGTCTCTCTGTAGCCCCAGCTGGCCTGGAACTCACTATGTAGATCAGCTTGGCTTCAAACTCATAGAAAGGCACCTGCCTCTGCCTCCCGAGTGCTGGGATTAAAGGTGTGTGCCACCATGCCAGGCTCAAAAGTAGTGTGTGTGTGTGTGTGTGTGTGTGTGTGTGTTGCAGTATGTGTTTTTGTAGGTGTGTCCACACACTCCAAGATCTTCTCATTAAATGTGGAGCTCACTGATTTTGCTATGCTGATGGCCAGTGTACTCCAGGAATCTGCCTGTTTCTGCTTCTACAGTGCTGCATGCACACTGTACCTAACTCTTAATGTGGATGCTGAGGATCCAAATTCGGGTCTTCATGCCTGTGCAGCAAACACTTTCCTAGTACATTAAACTATTTCTCCAACTTCATATTTCACAAATAATGCTGTCATGTGTTTTCTCAAAGAAATAGTATAAAAATGGGATGAGGGGCTGGAGAGATGCTCAACAGCTAAAAGTGATTGCCACACAAACCTGACACCTTGTCTTCCAGCCCTAGAAACAACATAACAGTGGATAGAGAGAACCAACTCGGCAAAATGGTTCTCTGACCTGTGCATGCGCACTGTGGCATGCACATACCATGGCATGGATGCACCCACATACACACACATACAACATATACACACAAATAATATTTTTTAAAAGTTTTAATAAGTAAATAAAATAGACTGTGTAAATACATTTCTTTTCTAAAATATCTTTATTTTTATTTTATGTGTATGCATATATTGCCTGCATGTAGGTGAGTGCACCTGTGTTGTGCCATGCCTGCGGAGGACAGAAGAGGCTGTTGGATCTCCTGGAACTGGAGTTACAGACAGTTGTTAGCTGCCATGTGGGTGCTGGGACTTGAACCCAGGTCTTCTGGAAGAACAGTCAGTGTTCTTAACTGCTGAGCCATCTCTCCAGCCCCATAAATACATTTCATAATGTCACATAATACATGTCAATCCAGTGAAGGTGTGTGTGTGTGTGTGTGTGTGTGTGTGTGTGTGTGTGGTACTGGGGATTGAATTTAGGGTTTTGCATATGCTAGGTGAGCACTTTACTACAAAGTTTTATCCACCCTTTTTTTTCCTTTTGTTTTGAGACAGGCTTGCTAAATTACCTAAGCTGGCTTGCACTCACTCTGTAGCCCAGGTAAGCCTTGAACTTGCAGACCTCCTCCCTCATCCTCCTGAATGGCTGGGAGAACAGTCTTGAACTAGCAGGTCAACTTCCAAAGGAAATTTGAACAAAAAATTAGCATGGAGTGTCAGCAAATGGCTCAGCAGGTGAAAGTACTTGCTATACAATCCTGATGACCTGAGTTCAAGCCCC